TTTTGGACGCTTTGAAAACAGTCCAAAAAATATAGAGATTCCTTTAGATCAGAAAATGAACTTTTTGTATAATAAGGAACTTTGATGAGGCTTTCTGAAATTTTAAAATACTTACTTTGTGTCATTGATGTTTCTGTCCAGGACACTGGGAAATCAAATCTGTATCCTTAGCAGGACAAATATCTAGTCTTTATGAAACACTGAAATAAAATGAAATTTTTGTTTTACAGAGCCCATATTTTTTGCAAGTCAATTAACTAACCCTAAATGATTTTCAAAGATGGGCCCAGTGTAGACAGGAGTCAGGAAATCTTATCTGTGTTAATTTTCTTCATTAACTTCTTGTACTGGTCTCCAAAGTCTTTACAAAAAGCATATTGATATTCTAGGTGTCTTGTGCCAAAAACAAATTCCTGAGGAACTGTTTTTTCTTTTAAAAAATTTAGTATGTATTTATTGTGTGTGCTTATGCGCATACAGTGGCATACATGTAGAGATTAGAGGATAGCTTTCAGGAGTTGGCTCTCTTTTTCACCATGTATGGTCCCAGGATTAAACTCAGGTGGCTGTCAGACTTGGTAGTAGGCACCTTTAACTGCTGAGTCATCTCACTGGCTCTCTGAATTTCTTTTCATGTGTTGGACTGGTGACATCTTGTGCATGTTTACAGAGCATTTATGAGTCAGTAAAAATGTCTTCCTAACTTTGGCACTAGTTCTCTAATTTATATGTTATAGTGATAGATATTATGTTAAAAGATTAAGATATTATGTAAAAGATAAGATATATTCACTCAAAATAAAAAAATCCAGCTAGATGTGGTGGTACATGTCTGTGTGTTCAGGCCAGCCTGGTCTACACAGTAAGTTCTAGTCCAGCCAGGGTTACATAGTGAGATCTCCATCTCAGAAAAAAGAAAAAGAAAAAAAAATCAATACTTTCTGATATAAAGCAAAAGAATCATTATTATAGTAATGACAGCTGTTTTATTAGTCTATTATTTATTTTAGTGATATGTTAGTAATAATAACAGTAATAATACCCACTTATTTTATAATAGAACAACAATCAAAATTATATCGCTAATTAAGTCCTCACTATGTGTCAGGTACTGTGCAGCCTCTTTTAATAAAATCATCAACCCTAAGAGGAAGGAAGCCTCATGTGTACTTGGCAGACAGAAACCGAGCATCTGAGATGGACTGACTTGTTCAGGGGCACACAGGCAGTTGTGGCTGAAGGTGGGAAACAGAGTTGAAGCCTGGAATGTAAGAACCCCAAGACAAGTGCACCAACACATGTGGCATGGGCTTTTCTATTTCTTAGCATTCACTTAACGGTTTCATAGTAAAGGGATTGAAGAAGCTGCCGCATGCTATTTCATTTACTGGGAAACAGAGGCTTAGTGGAAGGTAATAGTTTTAGTTGTTCCTTGAAATATGTGTTTAACTTCCCCCCAGCAGGTGTTCAGGCAGGTTGAAAAAGGAGCTCGGGCTTCCTTGGAGGACTGACCTGTGACATTTCCCACTTGCTTTTCCTGCCGCTGGTCCTGTACTTTTGGCATTTCTCTACGCTCAGAGTCAATGCGTCAGCAGCATGTTTTTAGCATTCCCTGTGTACACAGAAGTGGACAGTGACTCAACAGGAATGTATAACTACTGACTACTGTAGGCCAAGTACACATGGGCTTTCCTGGCGCCAGGAGACCAAGGAGGGGGGGCGGGATGGGCAAATGACCCTAGCTTCACTTTCTTTAACCTAAATTTACAGTCTGGCTTGCTTAGGAAAAGGGAGCCAAGTTAGCTTTGTAACCATAGCTGGTGACATTTCCCTCCACATCCTCATTGGACAGGGATGAAACCTGATTCTAATTGCAGGGGCTGGTCACGCCTTGCTATGTATCCAAGGATGACTTTGAACCCCTGACTCCTGATCCTTCTGCCTCTACTTCCCATGTACTGGATTACAGGAGTGCGCAATCACAATCTAGATTTTTCTCCCCCGTCAGTTTTACTTACTTCTTTTTGTGTATTCAGACAAGTTCCTAAATGGAATACAGATAAAAGAATGCTCTTAAAAAGTTTTCAGAAAGATTTATAAATTTTATTTTTATTTTGTGCGTAAAAGTGTTTTGGCTGTATGTAAGTATACCACATGCTTACATTATCCATGGAGGTCAGAAGAGGGCATTGAATCCTCTGGAACTGGAGATTAGATAGTTGTTAGCCACTATATGGGTGCTGGGAATCAAAACCAGTCCCCTGCAAGAACAGCTAGTGTTCTTAACCTCTGAGCCTTCTCTCCAGCCTCCAAATTAATGTTTTGATATTTCACAAATTAAAAAATAGAGGAATCAATGATGTAATTGGAATTTTAATTTACTCAGAGTCCTAAAGTGTCTCATGGAATACTAGTGTCTTTAATCTGTTCCTAGGTGTTTTATAAAAGGATCCCATGGTTAAGTAAAATTTAGAAATGCTAGACTGAAGTTAAATCGGGTTCTTTTCTGTAGAGCCTTGCTAGGTCTTTGGTACACTAATGTGCTTTATGAACCTATGAGAAAGGGATAGGGATGGAGGTCAACACTTTGCCCTAAATTCTCACTCTTACTGGGGAAATGCTTATCTCCCTGGGTTGGTGTGTTTTCTGTGTAAAGATGGTAGTTGATGCTGTCTTGACAACAGGGGAAATTTTGGGGAAGGAATGCTGTGACAGTTGCTCCTATTTCATGCTAAGACTTCTATGTGATACTCCTCTCTGGGTCCAGAGAAGGCTGAGAGGCATCTCTAGGCCAGATGGGCCTCCTTCATTCACCTTGTAGAGAAGTGCTGCAGGCTCAGCAGAGTATTGACCAGCCCCTGAGATTAGGATCATGTTTTATCCCTTCCCACCTAGGACATGAGAGGAGGTATCACCAACTGTGGTCTCCAAACTAGCCTGGCTCTCTTTTCCTCATCAAACCAGACTATAAGTTTAGATTAAAGAAAGTGAAACTAGGCTAGAAAGATGGCTCAGAGGTTAAGAGCACCAGCTGCTCTTGCAGAGGACCTGGGTTCAATTCCCACATGGTGGCTAACAACTACCCTTAACTTCAGTTCCAAGGGATTTGATGCCTCTTCTGACCTCCGAGGGCATTGCACAACATGGGGTGCTCTTACACATATGCAGGCAATATATTTAAATACATAAAAATAACAAATAAATTATTAGAAAAAGCGAAGCTGGTGCCTTCTGCTTAAGTTCTTTCTCAGAACTTCTAATAGAAGATGCAGTGTGACACTGCAAGTGTGGGGCAGGAGGTGTAGGATTGAAGAAGCTTCACCGCCATGACACTTGCTTTGTGAAGCAGTTAGGAGACACTGCTACTCTGAGGAAAACACTTTGGGGATTGGTTCTAATCAAACCTGGTTTTGTCAGTGAGTGAACAGCTTCTTATCTGGGCCCTACTCTCAGATTCCTTTCTCTATCACTGTGACAAATTTATTGGAATTGATCAAATTTAGACACTACTTTGAAGAGTTTTCTTGGACTGGTAAACCTTCTTTGAACATTTACAGTGCAATATACTTCGTACAGCTTGAGTTTCCATAGTCAAAACCCCACAGATTATTTCAACCATTTCTTTTTGGTACAACAGTGAGAGGCGAGGAAAACAAATTATCTCTCCAAATCATTAATTGACAAATTATAATTTTATATGTTTGTGGCATACAATGTAATATTAAACATGTTGACATGCATGCAATAAATAACGATTAAATCCACTGCCTCAGATTTTTTTCATTGCCTCTGCTGAGAAAATTACTTTGATGGCAAGTTTGGGATATTATAGTTGCCGCATTGCGTAGTGTATCTCAGAAAAACACACTAGTCCTGTGTAGTTGGCGCTTCCTATGCTTTGGCCAGTGTCTCTCCACCTGCCCTAAAACACGGAGCATTCCTTATTGTCTAAGGAACAACTAGATGGTCTTTGCAGGTTTCAGCTGATGGCTGCATCGGTTTCCCCATCACAGCCAACGTTATCAATAAAAAGAGGAACGACAATGGGAGAATTTGGCCTGGCTATAGGCTGATCTTGCCTACTTCCTTGACTTCACAAAAGGTTCCCTTTTCCTCATCTATAAAATAGGGGCATCCTATAGATATAAAATAGAATGCTACTCCCACTTCTTTTCATTGTTTTTAGCTGCCAAAGGGGGTGGGGGGGCAGGCACAAAGCCTTTACCACATGTGTGAATTATTACTGTTATTTCACTGTGATCAAACACTTTGCTGCCCTGCAATAAGTCAACTGTACTCCCAGGAAGGAGATAATAGTTTCGAAAGGAGAGCAGTAGCTGAGGCTGGACTTGAACTCTTGAGTCTACTGTCTCTGCCTCCTGTGTCTGGATTACAGTGTGAGCCACCAAGGGCAGTACCTGGTATCTCATTTCTCTTTAAGTTGTCTTGTTCATTCATTCTTAGTAAGCTATTAAACAAGTTTTAGTTTCCTCCTATTGAAGGTGCTTTGACTGGAGAAGAGTTCAATAGTGTGGATAAACAAGAAATGTGTAGGAAAGCTGAGCAGGGGAAGAATAAGGAAATATTTCTTGCAACTACCACAACAAAAGAACAAGCAAAAAAAAAAAAAAAAAAGTTTCAGTCCTGGAGAGAGGCTGAGTACAGAGGCCGCTGGCATAGGTCTCGGGGACTCTACGGTCTGATAGGGTCTGAGAGGGTGTGATTCCCCCTTAACAAATGTTCCTGGTGAGTGTACATGTACACACACACACACACACACACACACACACACACACACAAGCACATGCGGCACCCAGACTCCAGTTTCACCTCTGGCAGAGCACAACAATTCTCGGCTCGCCTTTCCAGAGTTATTTTTGGCTAGGGCTGTTCTCTGATGGCAAAAGCTTTCAGCCCCCTCTCAACTGGGAGAGAGGGCTAGAGAGGGCTGCGGGAGGAGAGGTGGGAGCCAGCTCAGACTGCCCCAGCTATCTTCTAGAGAAGGGCGTGCCTCGGAGGCGCAGTCCTGGGACTGCTAGGGCCAGGAGCGGGAGGGGAGTCCTTAGGGACGCAGTAGTTTGTTTGGGCACACTCGAAAATCAGCCAGCTGGGGAAAGACCCTGGGAACAGCTAGGCGATCTGCTGCGAACGATCTGAGCCCAGAAAACTTTATCTGAAGGTGAAGGCAAAACTCCAGGCTGCGTGGGGAGGAGCAGAACCCCCGGCGCGGGCCGCAGGAGGGCGCTAGGCGGGGAGGGGGGCAAGGCGGAGCTGGGCGCGGGGCCAGGCCGGCGGGGCCCCGCAGGCGGCAGATCCCCTGGAGCCGCGGCAGGACCGACGGGCCAGCGGCGCCATGGAGGGCAGCCCCATCCCGGTGCTCACGGTGCCCACGGCGCCCTACGAGGACCAGCGGCCGGCCGGCGGCGGAGGGCTGCGGAGACCCACCGGCCTCTTTGAGGGCCAGCGCAACTACCTGCCCAACTTCATCCAGAGCGTGCTGTCGTCCATCGACCTGCGCGACCGCCAGGGCTGCACCATGGTGGTGGGCAGCGACGGCAGGTACTTCAGCAGGACCGCCACCGAGATCGTGGTGCAGATGGCTGCGGCCAACGGGGTGAGTGAGTCGCACGCCCAGTTTGCGGGCCCCACGTCGGGCCACCTCCCGGCTGCTCTCTCCAGCCTCCCACACCGCCGCACTCGCAGCTACCGGGCGCACAGGATACCGCCGGGAAAAGGTGTCCTTCTTTTCAAAACCGGTTCTGGAAGCTCAAGCATCTCCCGGAACGCTTTTCTGCCTCTCCGCACCTGCTGCCTTTGCAAGTCTAACTTCTCTTTCTTCTTATCCATATTCACTCTATCGCAACTCCAGGGTTCCTACATTTTGTTGCCCACCTCCCCACACAGATTTCTTTGGCGACTCCAGCATGATTTCCCACCTCCGAGTCCTTTTACCATCACCCTCCCTCCTCCCAAATCTTGGCTGTCAAATTTAACAATTATTTGCACACACGTGCGATCACATCATCAGTATTAAACAGTGAGCTATTTAGCAGGAGGGGGCAGGAAGGATCACTGATTCTTCAATCCACCCGTCGTTTAGTGATGGCTTTGATTGGCTAGAGATTTCGTGGATCGCTTTGGTGCTCTCCAGCCTGGGCTCTGTTTCCAGGAGACAGGTCTCTAAATAGTGTATAAGGAGATTTGCAGGGACTTTCTTACCACAATTCCCAACTTCCCTCCAAGATGCCTTTTACATTTGACCAGTCAGGCCACTGGGTCCTCACCCTTCACTGCCATTTTCTTTACCTGCTGAGCCATCTCCCAGGTCTTCACCCTCATTTCCTCTCCTCTCAAGACCTCTGCAGTCTTCCTCCACTGAGGTCTCCCAGACCTTGAGTTTTTCTCCCTTAGCTCCCTCTTCACTTCCTTACAGATAGAAACACCTTTTAACAAATCCACTGTACCCCCACTTCACTTCCCCGTTCCCCAATCAGTATCTCCAGTGTGACTACCAAACTTCCCGGGTCTCTGAATTACCTGTGGGAAAAGCGGTATTAACAAGTCATTTCCGCCTTGTTAATACAACCAGACTCACATCCATAAAGATTTGAGTGAAATCTCTTGCAGATGTACAAATGAATGTGATCATCTTTAAAAGTGAAACCAAACAGTTACCTGTTGGTCGGCTTCTCACTATCGCTACCTTTTCCTTTTATGTCCTCCACGTGTCATGCTTTGTCTACTGCAATTTTCTCCTCTTGATGTTTTCAGGAGTGGAATGGGAAAAGAAAATGTTTTGTGGGTTAATGTTTTAAAAAAATATACAAAAGCAATGGGGAGAAATGGGACCAGTAGTAAGTAGTCTTAGGGTAGATTCAGGACTTGAATTTATCTTTGGCTTTTCATCTGGGATTGATGAATGCTGACTGGAGTCTGGGGGTTGCTGAGAGGTTGACAAATGTTCTTTCCCTCTTGTCTGACAAAGCTGTTCCTGTGGAAGGTTAGAGAATGATAAGCCCCAGGAGAGCTGTAACTCTGTTCACACTCCTTCCTGGCCTGGTTTGTCCAGGGGGTGAAAGAACACAGCCTGACTAGCACTGACTGTGGGTCAGGATATTTTCAAAGATTCGGTTGTTGATTTGCATAGGTAAATTGGTATAATTTATTTCCTGGCCCACTTTACCATGAGGCCTCTTCAAACTCTTCCTTCGGTGCTTCTTCTCCTTTAAACAAATTTCTTAACTTGAATGTGAAACCTATATTAGCATATGCTTAAAATCGAATAAAATTTTACCTAGTTGTTATTTTGAAGGGAAGAATGACGTGTCCCAGTGCACAAGGGAGTCCAACTCCTAATGTGAAATCTTTACTTCGAAGAACAGTAGGTGGGCCTTGGGGGCATTTTGCTGAATTTCAGATAGTGTCTTGGACCATTCTCCTCTTCATTTCACCCCTCTTCTGTGGAGCTTGTGCTGAAGGTTGGCTTCAGGAGAAGTTCGGTTTGGCAGGATTGGAAAATTATGAGCAAAATTGGTCTTGCAGGATTGAAAATGGATGGAAACTCACATGCTTCTTAACTTGGCATCTGTGGCATTACACTGAGGAGTGTTGAACCTGCGTTCCCAAATACCTTTACCCTTTTGATTTTTCTGATATTCACAAGCAGGATAGAAAAATCATGGGAAAACAGAGTTTAGGCTCTCTGAACTGGAAAAACTGATTATCAAGCAGGCTGTCATTCTTCTATCTGAAAAAGTTTGGTTTTGATTGAAAAATTAATTTTATAAGGAAATTTTCCAAGAAAAGCTGGACTTGGCATTTAATAATATAATTGCCAGAGAACAGAAATATGGAAGTTTTAAATTGTAAACATATTACTTATGTTTTTCTAGCTCATAATGTTTCAAATAGGCATATTCAAAACAGTAAATGTATGACTTGGATTTAAAATATTTCTATTATAAAGTTATGATCACGAGGCTGGTGAGGTGGCTTAGTGGGTCAAGGCACTTGCTGCCATGTCCGACAACCTGAGTTCAATTCCCAGAATGCGTATGGTGAAAGGAAAGAACTGACTTAAACAAGTTGACCTCAGATCTATACCTGTGCACTCTACATGTACATACACACACATAATAAGTGAATGCAAAATATTAAATGAAAAAATTATGATAACCCATTCCATGGCAGTCCACCCCCATCACACACACAAAAACCACACTTAATAATAAAAATAAAATGAAAATGTTAAATATGAATTTTTCTAATGTTCATAAAAGTCAGATAAGATTAATGATCTCCACAGGTTCAAGCCTTGACTGTAAACATTTTGTAATGTTGGTGTCATTCATTTTGGCTTAAGTGTTTTAAAATGTCTTAAGGAAAATAACATTCACCATTAAATTCTTCAAATAATAAAACTATTTTTATGTAGTTATAATATTATCTTCCTGAACAAAGTAAGACATTTTAATGAGGTGCCCAATCTACATTTGAATTTACTCTGTTGTTGTGAAATGGCTTTTATGGGTGATTTGCTCAAACTTGTTTCTACTAATCAAGAAATAAACATTGCATTTGATTATTTAGATTATTTAACATAGAAAATACTATCTCAAGAAAAGTCCAAAAAAAGAGAAAATACTATCTTTCCCTGTTTGTCTGCCTGCCTGTCTATATCTATGTATCTGTCTATGAAACAGACTTGTTGAAGAACCAGGCCAGTTTTCTTGTAGAATGTTCCTTCTGGAATTACTCAGATTGCTTTTTATGACTCCATTTAACTTTTCACTCTACCCCTTGTTTTTCTTGTTAACTAGAAATTAGTTCTAAAGACTTGCCTTAGTCCATTTGGGTTACTATAACAAAATATCACGAGCTGGCTGGCTTGTTTATAGAACAGAAACTGTTCTAGAGGCTGGGAAGGCCACGGTCCAGACTCTGACTCTTTGGGTGTCTGGTGAGAGTCCATTTCTTGGTTTATGGAATCATACTGTCTTGCTGTGGCCTCACATAATGGATGAAACTAGCTATTTTGGGGGGTCTCTTTTATAAGGGCACTAACCTCAGTCATGCGGACTCCATCCCCACCATTCAAGCACTCCCAAATGCCTTTCCTTCCACTGTCACTTCAGGTTAGGATTTCAACATATAAATCTGGGGGGATATATGCCTTCATATACCCTCACCCCTAATCTGGCAGCATTTCAAGTATGACAATTAGATTGCGGGGGTCTCTGAATTATCTGTATTGTGTGAAGTACAAGCCATGTGTTGTCAGTCTTAGTGATGATGGCGGGATCCTGGTGGTCACTGCTTCTACCCTCCACTGATCCCTCTTCAGTTTTGGTCAGCAGTGGGCTCAACTTCACACCATAGGCTTATTCATTTCTTACCAACATTTACTCAGTGCCTTAAAATTCACTAATGATCACTTCTTGTGCTATTTCATAGGATGTTTCAAAATAGCACTTTTCTCTGTTTCTGTTTTGCGGCAATCCCGAACGCTGCCACCTTTTTATCTAGCAGGAATTATGTGTCAGAATAACATAATAGTCTAATTGTAAGGAAGATGTCCAATTCATAAAAGAATGGCCTCCAGGGGCTGGGGAGATGGCTCAGTTGGTAAAGCACAAGCATGAAGACCTGAGTTCAATCCCAATACCCATCTAAAGAGCCAGGCATGGGCCCAGGTGTTTGCCACCAAGACTAAGGACCTGAGTTTTATCCCTGAGATCCAACCAGTAGAAAGAAAGAACTGACTCCCAAAAGTTGTCCTCTAACTTCCACACACATACTAGTGAGGTACATGTTCATACACACATACACACACACACACACACACACACATACACACAAAGAAATAAACAAATGTAATTTTTAAAATTAAAGAAAAATTTTATTTATTTTTTTATTTTATGTGTATGAGTATATTGTCTGCATGTATGTGAGTGCACCCATGTTGTGCAATGCTGCAGAGGTCAGAAGAGGGTGTTGTTAAGGATGGTTCACAGCCACCTTGTGGGTGCTGGGAATCAAACCCAGGTCCTCTGCAAGTGCTCTTAACCACTGAACCATCTCTCCAGCCCCGTTCTTTTCTTTTTAAAAAAATTATTTTTATTTTATGTCTATGAGTATTTGCCTACATGTGTATAAGTGTACCATGTGCATGTAATGCCAGTGAAGACCAGAAGAGGGTGTCAGATCCTCTGGAACTGGAGTTACAGACAGTTGTTAGCTTCCATGCAGGTGGGGAACCTCCCTGGTCCTCTGTAGAGCAGCCAGTGATCTCAACTGCTTAGCTACTTCTCTAGTCCCATTTCTGGCTTTTTCTAAAGTCTTCTTTGCATTTGACCTTGGCCAAAAGGCCAAGAACTGATTGATTGCAATCTTCTTTCTCTTACAGCATCATTGTCTAGTGGGACTTTCTCTGATAGTTGCAATGTTTTAGAATCTACTGTCCCAGGCCTACCCACACGTGACTGTCAAATACTTCAAACCATAACAAGTTTTCTAGCAAATAGAAAGGAGTATTGTTGTGGCCAATTGAACATGTCTCCAATAATTATGATTTAACCATATATATTGAACAAAGCCTGTCATAGGTTCCATGAC